CTGTTTGATCGGCGTACTTTTCAACTTCTCGACGAAGATCAATCAAGTTCTGCACACCTGTCGTATCAAGGTTGGCGACGGCAGCAAAGTCCAGAATGACGGCACGACAGATAGGTTGATTGGCCTTGTTGGGATCCTCAAGCGCCTGGCCCTTTCGAGGTCCCGGGTCATTCCAAGGTCGGTCTCCAACTTTAACGAAAGACATGTCCTTCCCTCGGCGGGTCTTGGACTTGACGTGATCGAGGATAGCTTGGTTGATGTAGGACGCGTTGGGGTATAAGAATGATTCCTCGAATCGATAGATAATGACACCGGGAGGGGGAGATTCGATCTTGACCTGAGGGTTGGTGATACCGCCGTCGCCACAGAGAGGGACGTAGACGTCTCGGATGTTCTTTTCGTCCAAGTTGTTCTCGGGCCTGATTCGAACTCGACCCAGGAAGTGACCTCGAGGACGCGCGATTCGGAACAAGAGAAGGACGACGGATGCTGCGAGAGAGGTGTAGATACCATTCTCAATCGAGGAGAAGATCGATACCAAAACGGCAGCGAGCCAGATAATGTATTCCAGAGGAGCAACTCGCCAAAAACCGTAAGACTGGGCAGGCGAAGCGACGAGATCGGCAACAGCATGGATGATCAAGGCGGAGATGGCGGCGTTCGGAATGTAGTAGAAGGCGCTGGTCAATGCGTACAAGGCAATGATGACAACAATACCGGTAGGAATACCCGCTGCTGGAGTTCGCACACCGGCTTTGGACTTCAAAGCTGATCGAGAGAATGAACCGGTCGATGGGTAAGCACGGAAGAGCGTACCGAGGGTATTGTTGACACCGATAGCGATCAATTCTTGATTAGGGTTGATCTTGTAACCGTTCAATCGACCGAAACTTTTAGCAATGGAGATGTGTTCAAGCAAAAGGACAATCGTCGATACCGGAAGCTGGGGTCCAAGCGCTCCTAGAAGCTCTGCGCTGATCTTGGGTGGCCCGACATCTCGAAGCCCTCGAGGTACGGTGCCAAGAATCGAGATCGGATAGTTCTTTGAACTCTTGCCAGCAACCATCCTCCAGGCGATAATTGTCCAAAAAAGAATGACAAATGCATGTCGGAAACAAGTGATGAAGAAAGATGCACGTCGGAATTTCGGGTATCGGTTGCCTGCATAGGCCATCGACCACTTGATGAGATAAAGAGTGAACAACGCTGTGACGCCCAAAGCAGCATCCAACTTGGCGTATTTCAGGTTTTTGAGGGTGTTGATGATGACCTTGTACGTTGCCTCTCGGGTGTTGAGTCTCTTGGCAATACCAAACAGGGCCGGAACCTGACCAGCTGCAATGTTGATGGCTGATCCCGTCATGAAACCAGAAACAGCGGGCTGAGGAATAAATTCGATGATCCATCCCAGTCGAAGCAGTCCAATGCCAAGAACGATAAAGCCACAAATGAACGCCAAACCGGTGGCGATCGTTTGGTTATCCCAGATACCAGGGTGAGTTTTTTGGACATGAGCGATAACGTTGGCGGTTTGTAACGACATGACAGCTACGGGACCGATGGACACATCCTTCGACGTGGCAAAGAAGGCGTAGCTGAGGAACGACAGGTATCAGCACTAGACGCAAAACACATCAAGGCAAGATGGACCTACGTTAAAACACCACAGAATGATGAGTACAAACCATATTCAGCGGGAAGTGAAGCCAACTTGGCATAGGAAAGAGCTTGCGGAACCAGCACGATGCCAACAGTGATACCCCTGAAGGAGAACGGCCAGTATGTAAGTCACCAGACAAGATCTCGTAGCGACAAAACGACTCACGCAATCAAGTCTCCTATAAGCCACTGCAAGTTGTATCGAGGAAGCCATTGAAGGAAGGGAAAGAGTGACTTGACATATGAGAAGACATTGTCCTTGAGATTGCCGGTGTTGCCTCTCAGATAATCGAACGAATGGACGGTCTCTGGTGCATCTTCAGGAACGCTGAGGACTTTCTTCACTGTCCTCTTAGCTTTGGTGAGTGTGCGCGAACGCTTTTCATTCTCGCGCCCGGAGTTGAGGACAGTCGTTCCGAACAGAGACGCTGGTGGCGAAGTCGAAGCTCCCGGTGCTTCAGCAGGCATGTTGACTGGCAAGACTTGTCAAGCTGACCCTATCAGTGCGGACTGAAGAAAGCGGACCTAGGCGGAATTCGGAAAGCTGAAGGCTGTGGAATAGGTGACGGCCAGCAATACGCAATTCCGAATCTGTGGCTCTTCCTGGATATATACTTCGAGCTGAGAGAGTGCGATGTGACGGCGGACCTCGGGCAGAATGTACGTTCTGACGAAGTGTAGAAGATTGAGTGGGATCCCGCAAAAGCACGCAACTCGAAGCTGTAGGGAGGGTCTCTTGTCCAAGTTCAAGCCCAACAAGATCTTCAGAATGCAGTTGTTATGGAATACTTGTACGGCGAGCGGAGAATCGATGGCACCATTCTCAAAAATATACATTGCGTCCGAGAATTATCTGGAGAGCGGAGGTACGAGTCTTGGAGCGTGAACCTGGGTGACTGTCCAAACGTTGGCTGGGAGTAATCCAGTTGCTTAGCGATGGTGGATTGTTGGCAACGACGTCAAGAATATGCTTAGCAACGAGATTTTTTCTGACATGATGGCGACATCGCTGAAGGCGAGAGCTGTACTCCGGCATCGTTTTCAAATCTTCACTGAAACTCTGGCGTCATTGCTCCGCTTGAACTGGCCCTCCGCAAGCGAAACCACGTTTTCGATCGTTCGGCCGGAGCCAGTTGTAAGTGTGCCATGACCTTCTCCTGGTTTTGCGCCTCGCCGGAATCGAAAACGGCGATCGTTTCCAGAAGGGCTCGATCTGTGAGACCCGAAAAAGCGTTGCCGAAGTCGCTGAGCTAGTTGCCGCCGGGCTTGCAATCACGCAATCGCTCCTCCGTTGCGTATGCCAATTGCGGAGATAGGAGGCTGCATGACCGCTACATCTACCGGTACTTGCAGTATCAAGTTACATGCTCATTCCAGCTCTCATACGGATTCTCCTCAGACCTCTCATCAGTCGCAAGACTCCTATAGTTTGGTTCTTGTAGTGTGATTCAGCGGCTCTTGCGGCGCTAGCCTCCCACTTCATACTGTATTCCGTTACAGACTGCCAGCTAGTCTGCGAGGTTCCGCTCGACGGTATGCCCTTCGCTTCTTGGCATCTGTGCAATAAGCTGAGACAGGGCGAGTTTGCGTACGGTATTCGTGTGTCAGCAGTTAGCAGAAGGTTACTTCCTGCTGATCCTCGCCCCATGATACTCCTCGTTGTGACTTGTGACTGGTGACATCCGAGGGAGCGTCGGAGCGATGGAGCAGAAGCAACCGATGTCAAAGGGCTTTAGCGGGACCTGGCTCACAACGGGGCTTACAGTACCATTAGTTCCCCTCTCGCAGCTTCCTCGCTTGTTCTTTGTTCTGCAATTCAAGGATCCCAAGCTCAGCTGTTTCGCGCCTCTGAACACCTTGTAAAACTGCTTAAGGATCTGCTTGTCCGTGGGCGTTACCACAAGCAACAAGTATAGCACAGGGTGAAGGGGTACTCACATTCTCATATGCCCTGGGCACTCTGAGCAGCGACATTATTCGCTACAAATGCATGGTCACCTTTAATACTCGTCAGGATGCACCTAGCCTGTCTGAGAGGGGCAAGGTGCTCGTCGACAGCATCGCACAGTTTCTTACCGCCAACATGCCTGCAGGGACACTTCTTCCGAACGACATAGTAATTGTGGCGGCCACTGCATCTACCATTCGAGCTTCCGACTGCCCGGATGGTAAGCGCAACATCACTTCGCAGTTACCTGGAGTGCGGAATTGTTGAAATGATGCCACTTTGCCTTTAATCTGTGTTCGTCTGTGTTTGCCTTTTTCTAGAAAGGAAACTAACAGGGTCTGAGCGCGACGGAAAGCCGATGGAAAAGAATTGACGGAGAACGCCCTTCTATCTGCGCGATATATATTGAGTGCGTTAGAAATGAACGTGTGACACATAAAGACATCGCTGCCGGTGCGACTGACAGTGGGTGGGCTGGAGTGATTCATGTCTTCTGTCGGAAGCCGAAGGGTTCCCCTTCCGAACTGGTGGTGGCTGCAAATGGTAGTGGTAGTGGTGTGCAGCAAATCCTGCGAACTAGAGGTTCGAAGTGGAGAACAGGGTTTCACCAGTAGAAGAGTCCCGACATCTCCATTCGGTCAGTCGCATGATACACATCAGCGAGGCAGGGGAATCAAGGCCGCAAACGGATAATCTTGTCGTGGTCGTGCAGCGATCCATGCGTCCAATGGAAGAAGCGGGGGTAAAGGGGTCGAACAATTAGCACAGGGATACGGCGGAGGGCGAGCAGCTCATTCGAATGATGCGGAAGTATGATGTGTCCGTTTACCCCGCGTCAAGTTTTGAGAACGAAGCCGAAGGTCTACGTCGAGGTTAGGAATCAGCAGCACCGCAGACGTAGAAGATCTACTGAATGCTAGGTCTGATAAGCCTCGCAAAGTATTACAGAGCTTCAAGGAGTTTGGTGCAGGTTACAAAGCTGAAGAAGTGCGAACATATAGCAATCAAGACAAATCTGCCTTTGCGCGGACATGTTTGACTTCGAAACATGATGATCAGCTGGTTTACAGGTGACGTTACTGACGGGATTCCTATTTCCCAGCACAGGAATTTACGACCTAGGTTGGGTGATGAGTCAACCTCATGGCATTCGCGATGGTCCTCGACCCTTGACTTGGTGCGACTTTTGGTCTTGTGGACTTGAGAATAACGCAACTGGGTCCGGACTTGAACAGGAATGAAGCTTGACTCCGCCGCAATAACTCAGACCTTAACAGAAGAGCGAGAGGAGAGATTCGGAGGCAATAATACGCCGGAAAAGTCGAGAAGTCGCGAAGAAGAAAAGCAAAAACTCATAAGGACTTTCGCTTGTTTTCCAAAGCGCAAAAAGAAATGTCCGCTCTGTGGATTGAACACAGGACCTGCGGTAAACGATAAGTTCTTATGAACTCGACGCTTCAGACCGTCGCTCTCCCACTGAGCTAAGCAGACTTAGGATGTTAGAAGCCATAGTACCAAACATATATAGGTTTTACCAAATTGGGCCCCTCTGTCTCTGCTTTGTTGCTTCATTTCTGCTTTGTTGCTCGCAGCGACCTCGCCTGGTGGGCGATTCGAGGAATAATGGGTGCCCAAGAGGCGATGAATTCTGTTGAATTCGACGCTTCAGACCGTCGCTCTCTCGATGAGAGCAGACGCTTGATGGTAAAATTGTCCAGTGTTGAATGTTTACCGCGTCGCGCGTTTCGCCCACTCTGGACGATGGAGTAAGCGATTCAAGTAAGGCAGTGTGTTCAATCAGGTAGGGGACAGTTTCTTTTTGCTCTACCGTGTATTCGGCATCTGATATACCTAAAAGCATTAATAACCTGCCTTTCCCGTCAGAATGCTGTTCATCGCACATTCACGGCTGACATGGCCGAGTTACTCGTCGCTGGGTTGAAGGCGTTAGAGAACCAAGGACACGCGGAAATCAGATCATGGGTTTCCCAAGGATGAACAGGTGGTGAAGGTAGGATATTCATCACAGAGTAACTGATTGCTGACACGACGACAACTAACAACATTCGGATCTCACTAGCATCTCCATCCAGCATCAAATCGTAAATTCCTTCCACTGCCATGTTCCCTAGATTAAGCTAAAAAGCCTTCGACAAGTAATTGCGAAATTGTTGCAAGCTGTTAGAAAGGCAAAACCCGCATCAACTCGGGCAGCCTTCACTTGTTGGAAGTTAGTCGCTTATACCCAACCATTTCTGTAATTGGACGTGCCTGTCAAAATCCTTCTCAATCGCGGCCATGATACCCTTCTTTCTTTCTTGCTCTCCCTCCATCCACGCAAGCTCCCTCTCGGTTTGCTCTATCGCTTTTTCAAGAAGTTGATTATTGGAGATCGCGACCTGGACAGATAATAACCTGGTTAACGGTCAATCGAAAGGGAGAAAACGGGACGGATGAGATACTCACCTGCAGCTTCCACTTTTCCATTACAGCCTTCTCTTGAGCAACCGTTAGGGAAGTCTTCTCTCCAATGAAGAGCTTCATGCATTCTTCGTAGTAATCTTCAGCTTTGGGGGACACTCCGGATGGCATATTGTCGTCGACAAACGCCCGCACGGATGTGCTACCGAGGCCGTCGACTCGCTTGCTGGCTTTGGATCGTTGATCCACTTTGGTGGTGGAATCTTCCTTGTCAGCCACTTGTTCACCCTCACCCTCCCCATCCGAATCGACGACTCTGTTGTCCTTGGCCCGCATTTTGTGGACGTCTCCTTCTCCTCGGAGTTGCGACTTTCTATTGACGATGGCTTTTCTTTCTCGTATCATCTTCAGAATTTCGCCAGCTCCAGTAGCCTGTTGGGTTAAAAGATGTCAGACGAGATCAGGGTTGTAGAAGATATAGATTAGAGAATACACGTACGATAGGGGGAGATCCAACGCATCATTCTCCTTTGCTACGTCTGCAACAGTGGAGTCGGTGGTGTACCTTTCCAAACGAGGCATGATGGAGATACGTATAGACTAGCAGCTTAGTTGAAGGGGCTTTCTGCTGAATGCGACAAGGGTAAGATGCGTTTCTAATATACACCAGCAAGACGGCCCGCGGCCTCCTATTTTACTATATACTAGTCCAGTCAGCTGTCCTGTTTCAGATGAATGTGGGATCAAGGTGTTCAAGAAGCGCAAAGGCACTTCGAGTCCCTTTCAAAGAATCGGAATGACTCACGTTACAGTCTCGATGGATGCGTCTTCTGCTTGTCTCAAACTTCAGCTCCGGCTCCCACTCTCCCACCGCCACCACCGCCGCCACCGCCATCGCATGCTGGTCCGACGACTTCGACTGAAGGCGGACTCGCGGTCGCGCGCTTACGTCGAGGCCGCCGCACAGTGTGGATATCGAGTTCTTCCGAAAGCCAGTAATCTTTCCTCTTTTCCTGTACCAAGCCCAAACATGATCGTCAAGTTACAAAACCTTAGGGGCGCAACAACGTAGCAATGTCCGACCACTGCACCGCATCACTCAAGCGAAGTCAGCAAGTATTCCTTACTGCCAGATGTATATCCTGCAAATGTATATCCTGCAAGACGGAGGCAGTAACGGGAGGAGGGGGGAGAAACAGCCAACTACATCAGGATAATCGTGTAGTGCTTTAATAGGAAGCTGCGCCGTGCGTATGCACGATTGTAAGAGACCTGTATTACGTTGTAGTATGTAGCTATGAATAATATTATATATCAAAGCTAAATACTGTAGTAATGGTTCTTGTTGGGATCGGTCAAGAACATTTATGCTTCACGACTAAAATGTATTGTAGCTTGTAAACAAATGACAACTAAATATAATAGACTAGACCACTTAAGCAAGCGAGTCTGTATAGTTACTTAGTTCATTAGTCAACACTATCAAGGCGCTGGACGAGGAGTTTAGGTAGTCAAGCGTGTTTTCTTAAATCATAAAGGGGGATTTGTACAACGGGTGGCGAATGCTATCCTGTCCAAGGGCTCCTAAGGGGGACCTTGGGTATACAATTTGCATCCGTGACATAGGTTTCTATGTCAGTGACAACGTTTTCTATGTCACTCAAGGCGATTCTCTGATTGGCTCAATAATGTTACTAAGATACTATGAGAGCTCAAACAGAGTGTTATACATATAAGAGACTTAGCCAACTATAAGTCCAATTTAATAGCAAACTTCTGGTAGCTAGTTAAGGACAAGTATAAAAATTGTACAATACAAGATAATCAAACTATAACAAAAAGCCAAGGCTATTACAGCGACACGCGAGCGCCCGTATAGTAGTTCCGCTCAATACTAGAATATGCGCGATTCGAGGAATAATGGGTGCCCCTGAAGCGATGGTTTCTTTGTGAACTCGGGATAGACTAAGAAAAGGAGGTCGAATGAGGATGCGCGATCATATCTAACGCGGTGCGGACTTGGCTCGTGCGATGTCCGCCTCCGCGTGTCATGACGCCAGCAGCTATCGCGTGAATACGGTGATGAGGTGTTCCCGTTGCCAACATCACCTCCAACCACCTTGCACACTCTCCATCAGCAGCTACTAGTGTAGCACCTCAATCCATCCTTGGCTCGGGAACGCCACTCAGTACCCAGATTTACACGCACAAGGTCGATCCCCAGGCATCTACACCGCTTGGCCTTATCAGCACTATAGCCTTAGACGTGACACAATCCTTACACGTCGACTTTCACCATGAAGCTCAAGGAAGTCCAGAGAACAGCTACGTTCGCATGGGGCACCTCGGCCTCTTCACTACCTCTGCTAGCCACCGGTACTATATCGGGAGCGCTTGACGAGACGTTCAGCAATGTTGGTCACTTGGAGATCTGGGCCCCCGAGTTCTTCGGAGCGGAGAGTGATGAAGGGCTCGAGCTCGGCGGTCAAGATCAACCGGGTCCCAAGGGATCAATTAGCACGAACGCTAGGTGGGTACTTCTTGTACATGTGGTTCCTGTGATTCTCCAGTTGACGATCTCGTGGCTGTCAGATTCAACCGTTTAGCATGGTCGTCGCCGTCTTCGGCCAATCCCCGAGGTGTATTGGCATCCGGTATGGAGACCGGTGAGGTTTCAGTGTGGGACGCTGAGAAGATCTTGAATGGATCAGAGTAAGTCCGCCCATTGCTTCAGTGGTGTCATTCTCTAACCTTGTATGATCGACAGCGCATCCGCCTCTTTGATTTTCAAAAACGAGACTCATGCCGGTCCCGTCCGAGGTCTCCACTTCAACCCCATCACCAAAAACTTGCTAGCTAGTGGCTCCATCAACGCCGAGGTACGTAAGCCGTCTGGTCTACCTGGACAATAAATTAACGCCTTACCCACAGATCAAGGTATACGACTTGAACAACCCCGATAAAGTCCATCAGACCGGACCTCGGTCCTCAAAGCTCGACGAGATCACCTCGCTGCAATGGAACCCCGTGGTTCCTCACATTCTGTCCGCCTCCTCGTCTTCGGGCTATACCTCCGTCTGGGATTTGCGCCAGAAAAAGGAAGTCATCAGCCTTGCATACGGAGGCGGCGCCGCAACAGGCATGACAGGCCATCCAACCGGTATGGGCGGATTCGGTGGAATGCAAGTCGGAAACAAACGAGGCATGAGTGATGTTTGCTGGCAACCTGCACATTCTACCCGCTTGATCACCGCTTCGGAAGATGATACGTCCCCTATCATCATGGTGTGGGATCTGCGAAACTCGCTTGCTCCAGAGAAAATTCTGAGTGGACACGACAAGGGCATCTTGTCGCTTTCTTGGTGCGAACAGGATCAAGACTTGTTGCTATCATGTGGTAAAGATAACCGCACGATATGTTGGAATCCCCAGACATGTGAGATCGTCGCAGAAGTGAGTGGTCAATTAAATTCATTTTATATCGGTGTTTGACGTGTGTCTGACCTTTCCTTCATAGCTTCCCTCCAGTAACAACTGGTCGTTCCAGACTTCATGGTGCCCCCGCAACCCCGACCTACTGGCAACCGCGTCCTTTGACGGTAAAATCGGAATCCATTCCTTGCAACAAACTCAGTCGGACAGCTCAGCCTCTGAAAAGGCAGCAGTCCATAACGCGTCATCCGCTGACGATATTTTCGGGGCAATTTCCGCATCGAATCAAGTTGGCACGCCTGTTTTGTCCCTGAAGCAACCGCCCAAATGGCTCCGACGCCCCGTTTCAGCCACATTCGGATTCGGCGGGCAACTCGCTTCGGTCTCCAACCTCCCCGTCGGCGGAGCGCAGGGCGGCAACAAGAATCAAGCGCACGTCGTTCACCTCAGAAACATTGTCACTGAGCCGCAAGTCATTGAACGTGCACAAAAGCTTGCTAGTATCGCAGGATCTGCAACCGGTCTTAGCGCGCTTTGCGATGAAATGACGCAAAAGGACGGCAGCGAGAAGGGTTCCGTGGCTGCTGGATGGAAGGCGTTGCAGAGCCTTTTCACCACGAATTCTCGAGACGAATTGG